CTAATTCCCCTATCTAGATTTTTATAAAGACTCTTGGAGTAATCCTTCTTTCCCAAATAAGGAGATTAAGCTACAGGCTCCAAATGGGAGTCAGTGATATTTTCCCATTTGATCGCTTTAAAGCCTTTTCTCGCTCTATGATAGCTTCATAATGTACCTCTTAGCTTTTAGCATGACCAAGGGAGCCTGATTTCACTTTAACTTTCTGTGTAATGCATTCAAGGGACCCAAATCCTTTAAGTCAAGGACACTTTGTTAATTTACAGCTACGTGGATTTTTCCCTTTGGCATTACTCTGTACTGCCCAGGAAGTACAGTTTTCCAGTCATTTCATATGTAACTGCATGCCAGTTTATATGCTCTTAATTGCTTCTTTGTAGAACCATGAGCACACGTGAAGTTAGCTGAATGGCAACACAGCTGCTGGGAGCCGTGGAGCCAAGCAGTGTGAAAGCCTCCAGCATGGCTGTGGGCTGCTGTGTGAAGTTGAATTGTGTGAATCTCGGTGTCTTGGGTGAAGAGGAGAGGGATTAGGGTTCCGAAAGTAATGCTTGTATAACTGTGCTGTCGCTGGTGTGAGGCCCAACCTGAAAGCCTGAGTATCAGCTAAAAGGTCAGCTGCCACCTTGTGCTTTTCTCAAACCTGTGATGTGATCTGGGAGGGCATGCACGTGTCTGGAGGTTTGTATGCTTTCCCAGCTCCACCAGTTTAACTGCAGAAGACATGAGGTCTCAGAATAAATGTCACCCACAGTAGTGTTCACAGAAAACCTCCTCACTGTACCACTGCAAAAGTAGGGCCATTAACTTGATGCAAAACTAAAGGAATCAGCCACTTCCTCCCTTTCCCTTCTCCATAAAGCACAGAGAATTGTGCCTTACCTTGTTAAATCTCAGTAAACGGCCGTAACACAAAATAGGGTACATCTCTTACTCACAAGATCTTGTTGCTGATTCATGCAATATTGCTGAGTAAGCTGATTTGTGTCTCTAAAATATATTCAAATTTATTCACAGTAAGATTATTCCAGGGGGTGGCATTTGTTGCACAATCGTTATGCATTTTTAGTTGTCTCCTCTCTGTCCTTTCCCCATTCAATGTTCCTGATGTGCTAACTTCTCATTTTACTGGCCCCAAAAAACTATAACCTCAGGTTTCTTTGTTCCGTGTCTCTTTTTCTTTATGCAGAATGTTCTCAATGAAGGCTCACAATAATGCTATTGGAGCCTTAGGTCTTCTAATAAATGCATCAGCAGATGCACATTGGATTATATTAGCCCCTCACCCTGTGTTGTTGTCAATGACTGGGCATCATCTGACCTCTGGATACTCTCAGCACTTTCTCCTCCTCAGACCTCATTTCCAGCTGATGAGCTCCCAGTTTATAGTAGAATTTCTCATGATTGAAGTAACTGATTATTAGCACACAGTATTGTACATAATGTCATGTTTCTGCTAATATAGTTCTAAAGATCATTCAGTTCTTTATGAGAAATGTTCAACTGTCCTATTTTTTTTACTGAATTCATTAAAGATGCTGAATTTTAGTCCATTTGCAGTTGTTTCACTTGAGTTTAAATTAAGAGTTAGGCTTGTAATTATGTACCACTATAAGCAACTCAGTATGAGAATCCAGCAGTGCCTATTTGTAAACCCATGCCTGTGTTTGTACGTCTAACCCTCTACTTCATATTTTATGCGTACTCAGAATAAGATGCCATCAAATGTGACAAAAGATTACCTGATGAACCATTCAGCTCTAACGCTTATCTAAATTGAATGCTGTGCAAAATAAATTGCAGTTTGCTAAAAGAAAATGAAGCACGCGTTACCTTACAGTAAAAATTGCATCTACTCCCCAAATCAATCATTTTTCTGAAGGTTGATGAATAAATGGAAAACTCTGTAAACACTGGGCTCTTGGTTGGAAGATGAAGTCTGATAGATTCTACTGTAGTTTATTTTTATCGTGGAATTATTTCTCACTGGGGAAAAAAAGACACCCCAACAATGCATACATACATCCTTTTTTTCCTGTGCTTTCTGCAATTCCTGTTGTAGTTCTTCTGTTTTCATCAAGTGCTTCTGAAGAGTACATGCAGGGTAAGGTGAAGTGGCAGGTAGTGTTATGCCTTCTGGTTATTGTGTGAAACAAACCTGTACAAACAGCACAGTAATTCCTACTGAAGGTGCTCATAATTTGAGGTATATTGCCAACAAGTGTCTTCCCTGTTCAGAGAATGCCAAGAGGCTGTTCTCAGGAATGTCCGATTGGTGTTGCCCTAAAGCTCTCCTCCTCAGAAATTCTCTGCTGAAGTTGTGTTTAAAATGATCTTTTATTGAGCCATTTGTTCCTATGCTTGAAATAGAGGCCTTTGGTTTAGAAAGGATTTTGCTGTTTTTTCTGTGATGTCTTGTAGTGTCGTGAAAACATAAGGTCCTAACAACCATAAAACCTTCCTGTATTGAAGTACCAGAGTTTGAACTAAAATAAGTACTAGTTTCATGTGTACTTCTGCTTATGTGACCTTCTTAGGGACTTCAACCCGTATGGGTCTGATGCTTGCTATCCAGGATTATAAAACCATGTAAGCCTGTTTCTATAGCCTGATTTCCATTAAAACTATTCATATTTAGGTGTCTAGGTGACTTGTAGAACAGGGACCTTCACTCATTTATGCTTTCCATGTAAATCTTGCTTTTGTTCTGTGGGAGACAGATCGTTCTGTGCCATAGGACAAGTTTTTTTTCTGTGAAATATAGCTGTAAAGAAAAAGACAAGCATATAGAAAATAAATGGATCTCAGAGACAGAGATTTGGAATGGAATTTTATTCTAGAAAACATCTCTTGCCTAAAGAAATGCACTGAGCAGCTGTCGTGCACGGTACCCTGTGTGCACCTACTCCTTCCCAAAGGTAATCTGTTCCAGAAACTTAAGGTTGACATCTGCTTAACTGCAGGTACTACAGAATCCATTTGCTGCTACAAAAATGGAGTGCTGTGGCATTACACAAAATAGAAATGTTAGCTCTCCTGGGAACCCTGCATGGCAAGCACCATCAAATGTTCTGTGTCTCCTATCCTGAAAGCAGGCAGGAATAGGGATAGGGGGTGCCTGTCATCTCTTTTCCCAAGGGCATAAATTGTTGCAGAGGTGAGAGCATGGCCTGTGGTCGTGGGGTGCATGGGTTGATTCAGTGAAAGGAGTGTGTGGACCTTATGTGTTCAGATCCTTGAGATCTGCACAGAATCTGGCTCCATCAGCTACAGTGGATATCATTTTTCTTGACTAGCCCACCATTTTTCTTGGCTGATAACATCTGTGCCTCTAAGATCTCAGCCAGAAGTATGCAGGAGGATGCAAAATGCCTCAGGGTAGGCTTTCACTTCGTTATTCTTCCACAATTTCATTGTGGAGTACTGTACTCCATTACTAGATTATACCTACCCAGTGGTTTGGATCTTAAATTTTCTTGTCTGCATTAGCTTTTGTTCAAATTAAAATGTGAATGGAGTTTTCAAGGACTAAAACAACAATATGGACAAAATACCACTTTACACTTTTTCGCAACAGATGGAAATCTGGACTGGGAATTTAATTTTAAACTGCATCCAGAAATGAATGAAAGCTGAATAGCTTTCTCATTCATATTTTCTTTGTGCCTGTCATGGGGAAGATGTATTTCTTATTTGCTTGAATTACTTATTAGTTTGAAAGCTATACCAGTTTTAGGCTGTTTGGTGTGACTTGTCTGAGGGTTGAATATCTCATTTTCACGATTCCTAGGAATCTATGATCAGAAAGGACTTTAAAAACAGAAGGTATTCTACATCCCAGCAGGCATGCCTGTTGATAGTTACTGTGGGCATGTCGGAAGGATCTCTCAGCTGGGTCTTGAAGTGTCAGAGAAGATGCAACACACAACTCGCAGACTGTCACAGGCAACAACCCGACTGAGTGCCACATTCTTGTGTTCCAGACTCTATCTCTTGGCATCTGGACCCTGGCGTTGCCATTTATTACCTCTCCTGGTTACTCTGGGATCTTTCTTAACAATTGCATCGCAATTAAATCAACAGGTGAAGAGTGGGTTGTGGACACGAAATTAGAAATCCGTCAGAGTTAAATGAATGCCCCCGAATTATTCACTCATGAGACAAAGGACTATGAATGTATTCTGTGGGCTAATGGCAAAAATCAGTTTTTTTTTTAGTTTTTAAGTATAATGCACTCTATCTTCCAACAACAACAACAAAAAAGCATAATATCTTAGCAAACTTGCCTGTGCTACACAGGAAGGAAGCAGGAAGAAAATGAGAAAAATTATTTCTGAATACATGCTCGGAAGGGGTGCAGACAAGTGAAACACAGGAGGGTATTTAAAGAGAAATGTCTCCTAATGGAGAAGGGAATTGCAGTCAGGGCCCCAGGCAAAGTGACAGGAACAACATATAAATGGCACCTGACACAGTAATGCTTGAGAGATACCATCTCTTTGAAAAATAAGTGAGTAATGCCTCTATTCAAGGCTGGATTCCTGCATTTATTTATGAATATGTTTAATTTTGGTGGGCTAATCCATATGCTGACCAAATATATACATTTAGGGTGGGGGGGAGGGAGGTGTGGACGATGACTGAGGCATGTAAGTTTGCAAACCAAAGTACTAATAAAGAAATGTATCTGATTTCCAGGTATTAAGTCTGCAAACTGCATTGAATGCTCAAAAGTAGGCAAGTGGTGCAATTGTGTCAGATGAAAAATAGTACGGGGGGGGGGGGAAAATCCCAACATCATTATGAAGATTAAACCAAGCAGTCCACTTATGGAAATGTTATGAGATGCCTACAAAAAGTTTTCTGGTTCTTATAGACAGTCTATATACATAGGTAGGGGCTGCAAAGGGTGGTGTGGATTCATGGTTTTAATTAAGCTGGTTTTAACACCAACATTTATATGCGACAGAACTTCACAACAATAGAAAGAGAAACCCTACTCATTTTCCTAAGAACATAAAGCCACATGATTTTATATATCCTCTGCTTAGGAAAAAACATTTTCGTAACATAGGTAATGAAGTAAATTTTATTCAGTTCTTGTTTTGCAGGGAATAAACTCAGCGTGAAGCAGCAGCATCATAAAATAACAAAACAAACCTGTTTAAACAGACTCATGTAAGGATGCAAATTTTGCACAGGGAAAAGCAAAACTATGCTGTGCAGCTGGTTAGAGCACATCATCATGCAAACAATTTAAGCTGACCGACAGTAAAATAAGCATTGACGTTCATATCCTTCACCCAGTTGCTAAAACATTGAGAACATTTGTATTCAAACCCAAGGGTTTGAGGGAGGGGATGTCCAGCAGCTCAGGATACTGTGCCACCGAGCGCTGCCTGGTGCTCTGTGAACCCCACAATGAATTTATAAGACTGGAACATCAGCCAGTAATTTTTAAAAATATAATTTGAGTTTTACAATTTAACCCATGCTTTTCTCCAGCTTTGAGCTTCTCTGAAGATGTATACAGTTCCCTCTATGATTTAAGGGACATTAAAGAATTTTGTAGGGAGGGAAATACCTGTAGATATATCTCTTATGTAGAGAATCTAGAGCTATATATCATCTCTTATATAGACAGGGAGAAACACCTTTATGTTGTGGCAAGATTGATCTGCTCTGCTGGAGTGTCCGGTATGGCAAGTGTACCTATGTGGCATAAGCATAGAATCCCCCAAAGGCTGCTTGGGCTTTTGTCACAGGGATGTGAGCAGCAGAGCAGCTGAGGCACAATAGGATTTGGGCTCACATCTTATTATACAGTAGCCCAGAAGAAACTTATCACCCATATTTGTCATGGCAAGTAAAGGTAGGGGAGCCAAGATAAAATAGCAGGGAAGTTCTGCAAGGGGATGGGAGGATGAGCTACAGAGATGGTGTGTATGGGAGGATGGCATGGTGGGAGGGAGGCAACCATCCATCCCTACAGTCCCCTCTTTTCTGGTAGGGCATTGTCAGTGGTTGCACGTGAAGCCAAGACATAAACTTAGAGTGACAGGGGTGTATTCTCATTTGAAAAGTTCCTGGGTTCATTTTAAGCAGGGTACCCTCCTGTAACTACTTGTAAACACTTCACCAATTCTATGAGCTGCATGGTACTGGATGGCTGCAAGAGATTCTTGAAGAACAGAGAGAAGGCTTTGATTAGACACTGTTTACATTGCTTTTTGCCATTTGGAGTATGGATATGTTACATCTTGCTTGAAAACAGATGGCTAAAATGAGCCATCACAAAAGTAGCATGCAAAGCCCTTGTGGCTGGCTTGGTCCTGGCAGAGTGTGATAGCTGAAGGTGCAGTGCTGGTCCCAAGTGCTCGTGCTGTTCAACAGCAGCAAGGCACAGGTTCAGTCCAGTCAGTTCATGCTTGGTGTCTGTCTGTTCTTCGGGGAAACCTCTGCTCTCCTCAGCATGGGTCCTGCTGTGGTTCTGAGGGCATTACCTGTGCTAGATGTATTCTGGTTTGGACAGGACCTGCATCTCCTGCCCTCCATCACTCCGGTCCCGGAAAGTCCCCTCCAACCTTCGTGTTCTTCTCTCCCTAAGGAAAACAAGGAATGGTCAGGATTAAAATGGATGAAAATAGGGGATGAGTTCAGCAGCTGTGCTTATCTCTCCCCTCTGTTTGGGATAGTCAGGGTGAGAGTAAAGGGACGGTACTCAAAGGGGGTGCAGAGGTGGTTGCTGAAGAGGCAGTAGATGAGGGGATTGATGGCACTGTTCAGGGCCGGCAGGTTTTGAATTATCACGGATGCGTAGAAGCGCTCTTTGGTCTCGGGGAGGATGTTGAAGTTGTCCAGGATATCAAACAGAAAGTAGGGGCTCCAACAGAGAGCGAATGCTGCAGGAGAGACAGAAGAGCTTGACATTAGACAGTATGGTTATTTAGGGAGTTAATCACATACGCACAAATAGAGGCTGTCATAATACATAAGTATTTGTTCATGCAAGAGAAATTGCTCCCTACGCAGGGTCTTATTTAAGAGGATAGTTATTAAATTGTGTTTTTATTTGTCTTCATTTTTATTTTAATGCCCATAAAATACATTACGTGTGCTCCTTTAAGTGCTTAGAGTGCTCCCTCTAGATGTATTGAGGCACTTCTGTACGCTGCACACACATAAAGGGTAAATAGGTAGCCAGTTAGAGCATCATCACTTACAGAAAAGCGCTCTTTTAATGGTCCCCTGAGTGAGCAGCCAGTCTAAACGCAGACAGCACCAAAGTGCTGCTCTGTGACAGCCCTGCCTATCACAGCCGCCTATTAAGAAAAGGCTCTTAGGCACCCAGAAGCAAGGAATGACACTTTCACTCTGAATTACAGCAGGCTGACGTACCGTTTTGCATGCAGGATGGAGGTGCCCTGTAGTAAGGGAATGTAGGAAGACTCTACGATTCCTCTACTGCTATTGGAGAAACAAGTCTGAGAGGGCTGCGTCATTCGTAGCTTTTGTTAGGAGGTGGTAGAAAAAGAGGCCATGGGTTTCGCTTTTTTTGCAGGCATTCAGGAATAATTTGTCTCATAAATGCCTACGTCAACTGCTCTCACAAAGAGTGTTGAGCATGCTGGGGCAGGCAGTTCACTCAGCTAAGTTATAGGCACCTGGATAGCCAATGTGCTGGCTATGGAGCTGGGTGCTCAGTGAATGTGCAAGGAAGAAGTAAGCTCTCCTGTTTTCTGGAGTAACCAACCTAATAGTGTGCACACACAGGGGCCGTAGTAACAGCAGTGTGCCCTGTCAGTGCGTGGATCATAGCACTGGCTACAGATCCCCCACTATAGGTGGATTTATGGAAATCCATGAGCATTACGTGCCTTCACTTTCTTGCACAGTGAGAGATGCTGGGTGCCTGATATTATCAAGGTCCTCTGAAATACTGAGCACCTAGGTGAGCTCTTGCCATCTGGAGGCATTGTGGTAGTGACTGTTTCTGTGTTTCTTGCACAGTCTTTCTCTGATGGCCACACAGATGAGTTCAGATGCAGAGAAGGTGTCCTTGGATTTCTGAGAGCTGTGAATCACAGCAGCATCTCTCATGTCCAAGGACACTACAGCTAACCAGTGAACTAAGCACCTCTAGTAGTAGCTATTATCACAGTATCAATCAATCTGAGTTTTGTGTAGGACTGGGAAGAGGAGCGATCTCTCCTGCAGTGCCCTGGGGAGTAAATAGCTTCTGATATCTCCCTGTCTGTCTCCATCAGCTAATCACAAGTGCTGTGTGATGTTGCCTTTATTTATCGAGATTAAATGTCAGCCTCCTAATTCCATCAGGATAATGTCATCTCCCTGGGAGACGGAGGACACCTGCACTGAGTCATCTGCATCCTGGCTGGGCGAGGAGAGCTTGTTGTCCCCACCTCTGCAGGCAGTGTGCTTCTGACATCAAATTTAATTGCTCTGCTTCCCTTGCCTCTTCCTGTTCCTGCCATAATGAAACAGCCTGTATTCTCTAAACCTAAAAGACAACTCATTTGCCAGGTCTTTTAGCAGCTTGGCTGTGTGTATCACTGCATACATCAGGTGCCTAAAATAGGATCCTGTCAGTCATAGGAGGGCAGAGGACAAGGTCAGAAGGCAAGTCAGAGGTCTAAGTAAAACTCCTTTGCTGAATCACTTCATGCCCTTTATTTGCTGGTGATGAAGGGAGATCCCTAATTTCAGCATCTGCCCCAGCTGCAGGCTTTTTTTTTTCATACTTACCAAGAACAATTACAATGCTGTACTTGATGGCTTTCACTTTTGCTCTGGATATGAACCCACGACTGCTGTAGCCAGCAGAGGTTCTGCCATCTGGGGACAGAAGAGTAGAACCAGTGAAAGAGCAGGGCTGATGTATGCATTTCCTGCAATTCATATATTAGCAAGTTTTCTCCCATTAGGCACAAAAAACCTGAGCCCTCTAAAATCAGAAGTGGAAATATATGTATAGGAGATGTTTCTGAAGCACTGTAGCAGCTGCATATCCCTGAGTCTCCACACTTGGAATCGTAGGCAGGAGAAACATTGTAGGTAAACCCAACAATATCAGTTTAGCAAAAACCTCTGGTCATCACAGCTTCAAAAACACAACTGGAGTGGTGTTAGAAGAGATGTTTTCTGAAAGGATCTGGCAACTGTAATTAAAAAAAACAACATAGGATATAGTCTGGCAAAACAGACTACCTGTTCAGTTTTTAACTGCATTTCAATTAGGTGGGTTTTGAAAGCTACATACTCCATTCCCTTAACCTCTTTTTGATGCTTTAGATACAGTCATGCATTTTGCTCTTCTGTTGGACTCAGTAATAAAAGAAGAAAAGAAGAAATGCTGTTAGATTTGCTTTTCAGAAGTAAAATGTGGCTTGAATTGAGAAGCGAAGTCTATTCAGTTTCGCACTAAGGCTGGTTGATCTCATTTCCTCTGAAGTCACGCTAATGTCTCTGAGAACCAATCTCCACATTTCAATGGCAGTACCAGCGTGATTGTAATAATATGCTTGATTTCATTATTCATGACAATTTGCTGTTCACGTTGCCCTGTGAGAATAATTAAGTTCATCGTAGTGAACACACAAGAAGGTCATTTTTTATCAAAACATCTTTTGACTCTTGAAATCCGAGCTGAGATTGAATTTTAATGAATGTCATTGGAAATAACTATGTGTACATGACTTTTTTGCACCTCTTAGAAAAACAACATATCCAGGCTATGTAATCTGTGAGGAAAAAATATAAATAAAATTAATGAGAGCTTGTTATCAGTGAAATATTGTATAGAGAAACTTGAAAACAGTCCATACCTAATAGTACTGAAAATTCCTTGGTTTTTAGTGCAGAATCTATCTCTTGACTGAGAAGAATGACTTTTTTTTTTTTTTTTTTTTTTTTTCCCCAAGGTTTCTGTTCTTACCAAAATTCAAACTTCCCAAGGGCATTTGAAAACATTCTGAAATTTTTATCTGAGTGGCTGCTAGAAAACAAACCATTCTACATATGGACAAAATTCTTGGATTAAGGACTCTGAGTTCTAGAGTAAGGATTATTACCTTCTAATTCTTTTCTTGTAGATGTTTTCTATCCTTTCTCAAAAGGGTACTTAATGTCAAAGGAAAGAAGTATGGAACAGGTATGAAGGAGCAGTGGCAGATAACCCAATCCCGCCACAGTGATGGGGTCCCAACTCAACACCACATATGTGGGCATTCCCAGATTTGATGTGGCTCCCCAAATCTGAATCCTGCGTCTGGAGACACGTGGGTGTTGAGACTCACCAGTGCAGCTGGATATAATGACAGCCTGAGCTTTGCTCTTCATCCAGATGGTTCGAATCACGATTGAGTATATGACACTGCAGAAGGGAAAGAGTCATTGATACTGTGAGGCATGGTAAATTTAACTGACATCTCAGTCATTCGTTCTCTGTGAATATACTTGTCTACGTGTAAGAAGCCCATGGAGATGGCAGAACTTCATAAAAATGATAGCAATAATAATAGAAATAGTAAATTACATATGACTCTACCAAAATATTTCCAGGAGCAACCCAAAGAATTTTCACGTTGAAGTTTGTTACCACTGTCCAGGCTTCACAGATGTCGGCTTTGAAGTCAGAAGCAGAGACATGGTTTTGGCCAACCTCTCCTAGGCAAGAGCTTGTTGGGGATTTTGAGCTGTCTGAGGCCAAAACTGTCTGATTATCAGATCCTGGCAGGAGGCACCTCATCCTGCGCTAGGAAGTGCTTGTGAGTGCTTAATGTGGGAGCTGCAAGAAGGAAATTTGTCCTGAAATGGGGGAAGCAAGAAGAAGGAATTGTTTCAGCTGTATGTCTGGCTCTGTTCTGGTGTTACTTGGGGAATATGAAGCTGATGAATAAAATGGTAACTCAGGGAAGAGAATGGGGACACAACCCATGAAAACATAATGTACCTTAGTGCTCACTCAGCTCTTGAGGTCCTGGGAATCTAATCAAGGAGCACAGAAGTGCCAGGTAGATCGGAAGAATTAGGTAACTTAAAACCGGATTTGTTGCAGTTTGCGTATTTAGAAAGGAATATGCCTGTATCTTTGATGGTAAAGATAGAAAGTGCTCTAGTGCACAGTAACCATGGGTTGTTACAGCTTTTGCCTAGGTGATAAAAACTGTGGGATTCTATTTATTTGACATAGAATAGGTGAACATAATTCCTCTCAGCTGAAGAGATGTTTGAACACACATCTTGGATGAGGATGTTATCATAGAATGGCTTGGGTTAAAATGGACCACAGAGATCATCTGGTTTCAACCCCCTGCTGTGTGCAGGGTCGCCAACCAGCAGCCCAGGCTGCCCAGAGCCACATCCAGCCTGGCCTTGAATGCCTGCAGGGATGGAGCATCCACAGCCTCCTTGGGCAACCTGTGCCAGTGCCTCACCACCCTCTGGGTGAAAAACTTCCTCCTAATATCCAACCTAAACCTCCCCTGTCTCAGTTTAAAACCATTCCCCCTTGTCCTATCACTATCCATCCTCATAAACAGCCATTCCCTCACTTCCCTCAGCCTTTCTTCATAGGAGATGTGCTCCAGCCCTCTGATCATCTTAGTGGCCCTCCTCTGGACTCATTATGTTTGCAGCAACTGAAAGAAAAACAACACACAAGGCCTTGCTCTGACTTCCTCTTCCTCCAGAGAGTGGATAACATTATTATTACCAGAGCTTTCAGACTGATACACAAGCCTTTCCTATAGCACCTCAGCTCCTAGCCATGCTTCCAAAGGCAGCACTTGTGCATCCTGTAGGTATATTTTCTATACAGGTTTGAGAGCTCTGGTTCCCAGGCTTAGAAGGTGAGAGCTGGAAATTCAACACACAGACCAGGTTGTGCAGCAGAGCAGCACAGTTCTCACCCAGCAAGGATTTTGCGCGCCTCTTCCACAGACGTCAGCTTGCCTTCCTTAATCCCTTCAAAGGTCCAGCATGGCTCCCAGCTGACTCAAACATTTTCCTTTTATCTCCTGGCTTTTCAAGAGCCTGTTTATTTATCAGCTGGTTCACTTGAGAGTTTCTGTGTACTTTGCTCTGATAAAAGTCGAAAATTCATGCATCATTTCTCCTTTGATTGTTTCAGTGAATCAGAATGTATTATGATGATGACTGTTGTTATCATGAGAAAACTTCAGCCAGCTCCTGCAAGACTTGTCTCTATTTTATCTCCAGCCTGCTGTCTCTAGCCTGACCTTCTTTATTTGCCATTAGAACAGTGCCCCCTTTGATGCAGATCTTTCTGTGTGCCCAGAAGAACACATGCAGAGTTGCTCAAGTATCAGGATGAAGGAGCTTCGAATACTCAGTTTCCATCCTTCCATTCAAATGCTTCTGCTATTGAATTATGAACCCAGGCTCTTCACTTGCTTTCTGCTGAGGGCTTAAAGGATGGGAATAGATTCACACTTGATGGTAAACAAAGTGGCAGATGAGCAAAGAGTAGAGAGGGACAAACAGGATCTGATGTTCAGATGGTTGGGAAGTCCAGATGTTGTTGGGTTTCTTTGCCTGAATGTACTTAGTGTACTCGTCTTGCAACCCTGACTGTGACTTTTGGATGCCATGTAAGTGTGCTATGGTAGTAATACATACTACCATAATGAAATATTATATGAGTTGTTGTGGCTCATTATTTACAAGAAGGGCACTTATTGAAAGGGAAGAAGAGATCAGATGCAGTGGAAAATCTAGATGGAAAAAGAATTAAAACTTTTTTTTTCAGAAGGAGCCACTCAGGCTGTGATGAAGACCATAGGATAAAGTGGATATGCTGTTCATATGAAAATGCAGTGCTTCTTTTTCATAGCCCCAAGGAGATGCATACGTGTAGAAGTGTCAGGAAATTACAAGAACATAATTTAGTCTAGGGATGTAACTCAGCAAATTACATTCATTGCACCTCCAAAAGCAATTTAGATTGATCCAGATTCTGAAGAACTAAGATGCACGTTCATTGTAGCATGTTATTAGTTAATGGTGTTGGTTAATTTGACTCCATTGGTAATTTTGGCAGCCTTTGTCCTTGTGAATAACCAACTTGAGGTAGCTTCCTACCTCACTTTTGTTTTGGAAAACAAAATGCTTTCTGGTAAAGCTAGGTATTGATAAAAACATCCCTAAGATGCCAGCTCTTCAAGAATGGGAATTATGTTTTTGTTTTAAAATAAATGATGACATCATGTTAGCATCTCACCTGGGCACAGTCTTTACTAACAAAATGAGCCATTGCAATGGCAAAGGGTATACTGAAGCTCCCTGTTAATTGCTTGTATTTGTCCTCCAGCATTGTCTATTGTTTCTCATATTGTATTTGTGCAGAGGGCTGCAGCTGTCCTATGTTGTGTGGTGGCTGATTTGCAGCACTGTTTATCCAAAGACAAAATGTGCGTGTAACTTCATCCAGATGAATCAGTGCAGGCATACATAATGAGCAAGTGAATAGACAGGCAGATAGTAGAACGTACATACAAGGTCTAGAATTTCTTCCTTTGAAATGGAAATTGCAGGCAAAAATGACTGTTCTCTTTGAATCAAACTCAAAATCAGATCTTTGCAATTTTTATTAATACCTTTTTTTTTATTTGATTTGATTTAGTTCTGATAACTCATCTACTCACCATTTCATTATAGAGCTTATATTTCAATTCAATACATTTTCCTTATAGGTTAGGTGATTCTGTTTTGTTTTTTTTTCCCTTCTGACCAGTTTTTTGCTGCTCAACAGCAAATGTTCCCTTTGGAATTCTGATTTTAAACAGCAGATGGACTGTTTTTTTCCTCTGTACCTCAAGAGGAATTTTTTTTTTTTAACTTGTATTTGGAATTATATTAGATGAATGTTTATATATTGTATTCAAAAGGTTAAAACAGAGAAAATGCATCTGACAATCTTGAAGAACAGCTAAAAAGAACAAAACTTTACGAATTCCAAATTTCTGATATCCAGCTGACAGAATTCAATTATGGTGTGGCACAGAATAACAATGCAGGACAGAAAACCAGCAACTTTCATGTCTTTCCATCACAGGACCTGAGAGGTCAGGTGCAAATGCTTGCAGGAGGAACAACTGTAATCTTGATCTGGCCCCTGTTTAGCAGTGCCCCGAAGTATCTTCACCTATCACAGGTATCATTCAGAGATTCACTTGGCTTTATTCAGTGTAGCTGAAATGGCTTTTGTTGTAGCTGTGGATTCTCGTCCTGGAAGAACAAATCAGGAAGATTCCCTTTTCCTTTTTCTGTGCTCTTTGGAGTTTGGTAGGTTAACAATATCAGCTGCAGAAAAAGTGGTAGTGCAGCCCAAATGAGAAGAAAGAACAGGCCAAACCTTCAAGTGCTGCAAGGAAAAATGGGATGTGATGCAGGACACTTAGATCTCCCTGACCAGCACGAAGAAAGAGGAGGGGATCTTTAATAAGAAAACAACAAGTCTTCTTTCCATTTCTCAGCTTTCAAAGATAACCAGGCTTAGATTTAAGAGCCTTTATTCTCTTTCTGATATTTTGGTCTTGTTCATTTGTATTACAGTTGGGTAAAAAAATCACCATTTGTGCAAAGTGGCAGTGGAAACACATCTGTCTGGCATTGAAGTATTTTGTGGTTTTATAGATAGATTGCCTTTTTATGTAGACATTAACAAAATTGAAGAGCAGGTTATTTGCATGTTTTTGCCTGGTTTCCAGAGAATTTGCTCACATTGTGTCTGGAGGGTTTGCTCACCAACGGAAGGGCTTCCCAGGCTGACTGTGAGGGTTATCAGCTGAATTACATCATTTGTGCTGTGGTACTATGGACGATGCATCTCGTCTGAGTTACTTGTAGGCTGTATTGGGAACATGTGAAATCAGCTCTGAGTGCTGGAAGATGGATGACAGAAACTTAAAGACGATGGTATGTGGATTGTAGCAACTGAAAACTTTGCAGCCAGAATGGCAGATCAGAGCCGAATTAAGTTCTGCACCGGAAAAGCAAGATTTTATTCTTTGCATGAGCCATGCCAGAAAAAGTGCTTTCCTAGGTGAAGTGCTTTGCTCTGGATGTGAGGCTTCCTGCAGATGCAGGTGGCAGAACTAATCAAGAGTTAATTCAGGCAGCATCCCACATTGCTTTGGGCACCCACCATGCACTTAGGTTGGAGTGCTTCAGAGGAGAAAATAAAGAAGCTGCACAAGCAAAATGAGTCATTGCAGAAAAGGTCTTGGTCTTAATCTATGTGCTGCCTGCACTGTAAGGCTTGGCTGCTTTGGTGACCGTACTTTGCACCCCAGCTGCTGCTTTATTCATATTAAATTTGTATTTCATACAAGAATTCACTCCATATAGGAATTTAATACAAATAAATCCTTTTCATCCATACTACTATTTGAGTTTTCAGTCGCACATGTATGTATTGTCTCTCCATTGTTAAGTGGTGGTCTTTTTTTGGAACACCTTCACCTAAAAGCCACTAAAATCAGAAACCACACAATACCTTACTTCCTTGACTAAATAAAACCTCTCATTTTTGTAATTAATCTTTCAACTGAATGTCACACACCAGTTACATCTAGACATTGCATCTGTCCTCGCTCACCCTTCTGCAACAGTGTCTCACCAGTCCTGCAGAATGTCCAAAGGGACTTAGTGGAACGTGTCTTTTGAAGGGAAATAGAATCCCTGCAGGAATTACTGGCCATTCCTGGTGCTCTTTAGCTGCAAACTACCTATTAATATGCTGCAGCCACATGAGGTAGGTTAGATTCAACCTCCTGGACTGCCAAGAGGTGTTAAAGGAATAGGTGTTGTGCCTCGAGGCTGCATCGACAGAGGTCTGGCAGATGTGTCAGATGGGATGTTGCAACCTTCAGCTGTATACTTGACAATCCAAAACTTGAAAACATGGTTCAAAAACTAGACAGTTGTTTCCAAAGCATGGGGTATTTGTTCAGTGTGTCTACTGATTTTGTTCTAATGGTAATCTTCTTCTGTGGCTGTAGACATTCCTCTCTGTTATAAAGAAAATAGAATCATAGAGTAGCTCTGGTTGGAAGGGACCTTAAACCTCATTGAGCTCCAACTCCCCCGCCATGGGTAGGGCTGCCAGCTAATAAATGGCCATAAACTAATAAATGGCTCTTACTCATCCTTCCATGATCCACCCACCTCCCTCCTCCATGTGCCTGCCACCACTTTGGACCTGTCCAAAATTTGTCTTGAAGATGAGGTGGGAGCACTTGCACTACATACCCTGAAATGAGAAACTGTCCATGGTTTTAAGTTCCTGCCCTGGCATAAACTTTTTGTGTGAAAGTCACTTAAGGTTAAAGCCACGGAAATTTGAGGATGTTTTATTCATCTCTCAGCTGTCAGGGCAGTCTCATGAAATGCTGCCTTCACCGCCTTTCCCTATTCCCTCCTGTTCTCATTGCCTTCTTGCTTCTGGGGATTTGCTGTAAGTCAAGTCGCATAGTTTTGACAAGGAGGAGGGGAAACATAATGTCAGGAAACTGGAAAAGACTTTCTGTGTGTTTTTTTCTGTTGTCTGTAAACCTATTCATATTCCATGCGAAAAGGAATGGCTGAGCTGTCCTAGAAAATGTGTGGACATGTAAATTGGAGTATGAAGGGGAGGTTTTACACACCTGTGTGATTGATAAGTTGACAGGATACAGGCCTCTCCCCAGAAACACTTAAGGTGCTGGATAGAATTTCCTAATTGCTAACTATTCAAAAAATTCACAACAAATCTCTCCCAGAAACAGTAGCCAGGCTCAGTATTCTCTGAGATAATTTCTATTGCACAGTGAATTAATTTTGTCTGTTTATGTTTATTCTTTCTGCTGAGCTCCTTTTAATAGCAGATTTTATTGTGGACCACCTTTGTGGTCTCAGGCAAATCAATCTGAAATACTTGCAGTTCAAATTTTCCTTTGCAGTGTTTTTTTTTTTTTTTTTTTTATTATATATATTTTGGAAGTGCCTGACAGCTTCAAACAATTGGGAATTTCTTTTTGACCCTGATGAAGTAGCACTCCTCAAATACTATGAAGCTTGAGAGCACTTAAAATTAATTTTAGTTTAATTAGCGCTAAGTGTATTTTCTGTTCTTTTATTAAATTCACTTTTTATCGTATAAGCTAAACATTCATATTGCATTTATAAAGGTCTATTTAAAGCCTGAAGCTGCAGAGATAAGTGGACACACTTAGAGATGCACTCCTTGTTCAGAAATAATGTTCCTGGCTATTACTGCGTGGAGAGCACTGCAAGGCAAGCACAGCGACTCGTGTGCTGTGCAATATGAATCAAAGCCACCGTGAGACAGGTGTGGAAATGAAACCATAATGAGCGACTGAAATTAAAGCATTAAGCTGATTGCATGCTTGACAGCTTTCACCATGCACTTCCAATGGCAGGCTTACCTGATAATGATCAGAGGAATGAAGTACACAAGGAAAGCAACCACCGTCATGTAGGGGACCCAGTAGGAATCATCTGGCCACAGAGCCCAGCACTGCACTTCCCCATTGGAGAGCTGTCGTTTCCCAAAAATTATCAGAGTTGGTATTGAAAACAGGAAAGAGAGGCTCCAGGCCACTCCAATAAGAACTTTCGCCTGTCTTTCTGTTCAACAGATTCAAACAGACATTGTTAGCAGAGTAGGCAGTGGGATTGGCCCTTTGTAGCAGAACTGAGAGAGAGGTGGGGACGGTCTCTGAATAGTAAGTGCTGAGAAGACTGCAGAGGAGTGTGGGAATTTCATCTCTTTCTTGTCCCTCTTGCAAGGGACAACAGACCTGTCCTGCTGCACATTTGTACCTGGGCACAGCAACAAATCAGCTGGTATGGGAACAGATGGAAAAGAAAGAGCCCTTCAGATAGCAGAGAAGGGTTGAGACCAGGAAGGGTTACGTAAAACATAAATGGGTAGGAGGTGCTGAAAAGGAGAAATGACCTCCTTAGATGTTCAACATTTTGCTGCATCTTGTAGTGAGAAGACCTACAAAAGACTTAGGAAAAACTCATCAGCTCAGTGTTGAGTCAGAACTGCACATTCATCTGCCTTTAGCCCTATCTGCACTCCTCAGCATCCCACGCAGACCTTTGTGCTCCCAGAATGCTCAGAAATCTTTGCCAATTCCCAGTGATGCAGTGGGGACCAACCTCATCTCCAGCTGATGGGCATATGCTCAATGATGCTGAGGGTGAGCATCAATGAGGGTGAGGAAATCCTATGGTTGTGCTCAAAGTGCTGAGCAGTTTTAATTGCTGCAGCAGCCAGCAGCTACGAGATTCTTCCAGGCTGCCTGGTGAAGAATGGCAGTTCAAGGATCAAGAATAGGAGTTAAGCAGATTCGTGTTACTGCTTACACCTGGCTTATGGCCTCCTCGACAGATAGGGAGAGCTGGTAGATAACCAAATGATGCCATGTGGCACCTATGGGATGCTATAAAAATCAACTGGTTGGAGCAAACAGCCCTGAAGCTTTAGTTTTCATAAATATATATATCTTTTGACTAAAATCCATGTAGCTCTTGCTAAAAAGTGTGAGGAGGAGCAGCTGATCTGTGTTATACAAGTGATCCTCAGCAGTAGTTATGCCTTCTGAGCCAGATTGCTAGAGGAGCAGATGAGGACAGAGTTTTGAGAGATCTGAGAAGATTCAGCGTTGAAACTATTTACTGTCCAGCCTGCCTACAAAATACCTGCAGTGGCAGTGAAATAGAAAATCACTTTAAATTATGAATATGAAAAAGTACGACTTTCTTCCTTGAAGCTCAAAGAGCAATATGAAAGCATGTGGGAGAAGCATTTTAAAAGTAATTTTATGCTTTATAAAACATCAGTTGCAAATATTCATTTATCCTGCTCATCTTTAAATGCTGCCCACATTCAGCAAAATATAGTCCTTCTAATCTTGGGTTTAGGAGAGCTCTGATGACAACCACATAAGTGAGAGGGTTAGATTAAGTCTATAAATATTGCACTAGAAGAGGAAAACCATGAGGTTTCACAAAGCATAACAGAATAAACTTAGCAAAAGGAATATTAAGAGTTTCACAAAATACTTCCTGACAGAAAGGGCTTTAGATTGTGAGCAAGCTACTTGAACAGCATGCACACAAGCCTCGATGGGACCCACAAGTCTGTTTCTAAGGTGGAAAGGTCACTGTTAGATAACATACCTTACTTTTCGTACAACCTTAATTTGACAAGGAGTAGGCAGCTTGGGTTTGGCAATAGAGTTGTTTTATTTTTGTGTTTTATAAAATATTAACTGCAATGTTCACTGATTTTGGTTTTTAAATGTTCTGTGTGTTTGATAAAACATGGCCTTGCTAGTCCTAAGAGCTTTGCTGAGCAATGGTAGTATCTGGGTAGATTTTTATCTTAATGGATTAATGTTAATTGGCTGCCTCATAAGCAGTGTATTTATTCATTGTAAATGCTCTAAATGCTGGCAAATGATATAACTAGACCATATATGTTATAAATGGAATCAAATAAGTAACACGTTTCTAATACTCTGTATAACAATCTGCATAATATTCTATTTGCCCTGTGTTTTCCTTTCAAAATGATACTGAACTTTAAATTGGGAGTTTTCCATACTAGAATGTTCAAAACCAGCACCCAGCATTAGCAGGAATCTGCTGTCAGCTCTGGTTATTGGCTCTCATAACTGTCCTTTTCACAGAATCACAGAATAGCCTGGGTTGGAGGGGACCTTATAGCTCACCCAGTTCCAACTCCTAGCCATAAGCAGGGCTGCCACCCACCAGCTCAGGCTGTCCAGGGCTCCATTCAACCTGGCCTTTAATGCCCCCAGAGATGGGGCACCACAGCTTTTCAGGACAGACTGTGCCAGTGCTTCACTACCCTCTGTGTAAAGAATTTCTTCCTGACATCTAACCTAGACTTCCCCTCTTTTAGTTCACAACTGTTCAGCCTTGCCTATCTCTAGCAGACCATGTAAAAAGTCAGTCCCTCTCCTTTTTAAAACTCCCCTCAAGGTCTGGAATGCTACAGTGGGGTTTCCCAGGGGCCTTCTCCAGGCTGAACAAGCTCAGCTCCTGTTGCCCATCTTCATAGGAGAGGCAAAGAAGGAAACAATCAATTCTCTTGCCCTGTTGGCCACTCTCTTTGGATGCAGTCTTGGCCTCTTTTGTTTCTCTTCCTTCATCCACACTGTGACAACAGCTTTGTGTACCTTTGCCTGCCCCCAGCCACATCTGGTGGGGAGGCACCTCCCTGCTACTGTGAATGGCGGTGCTGTGCAATCCTTCCTCCAAAAAAATGCCTTTTTAAATCTGGAGAGAACCATTCCAGGATCTCAGTGATCTAATGGACCTCAGTGTTTGCACCCCAAAACAGCAAAAGGGACAGTTTCCATCTGTTCACATTTTGTCTTTTATTTAAGCAGTTCTATTGACTGCTGCTGGTCAGTTTGCACACTGGTCATACGTATCTTCTCAAAATGGTGAAATATTTATGTAATGCGTTCTGTTGCAACTTCTAAGTTTCTCTTTGAGCTTACAATCTTCACATTTTTTAATGATTTGGTTGGTTGGTGCCTCATAGAGCAGAAGTGCTGGCATTAAAAAGTATATATAGCATATAAAGTTCTTCTCCATCTTGCAATTTCTGTGGTCAATTAGGTATTTGCAAAGTGATTATGAAATATTTAACTGTCCAAGTCTATCTTCTTAGAAGCCTTTAAGAAAGCAGCTTCCTTCAAATGTTCTTTTTTTCAACATAACTCGTGTTTAGGAATTAAACATATAATTAAAAAAATAAAGTACAAATTGACATTTTCTAAAGAAAATGTTTGACCTTTTTTTTTTTTTTTTTTTTTTTCCAAAATAATATTTTCAAGGAATGTAATGTTTGAAACTTGAGACTCACCAAGGGAGATTTAGGCTGGATGTTAGGAAATACTGCTTTTCTGAAAGAGTGGTCAGGTGCTGGAATGGGCTGCCCAGGGAGGTGGTGGAGTCACCGACCCTGGGGGTGTTCAAGGAATGTTTGGATGTTGTGTTGAGGGACGTGGTGTAGTGAGAACTATTGGTGATGGGTGGATGGTTGGACTGGGTGACCCTGTGGGTCTTTTCCAACCTTGGTGATTCTGGTAAATGACTTGTGTGTTTCTTGACTGAAGGGTTTTGGAGGATGAGCATTTCATTCTGAAAAAAAACAATACGTGCTACTTGCCACTGATTCTCTCAGGGCTGTTTTGACAGTATCTGGGTTATCACCAGTGACAAAGTTTTGTAAATCATTTTGTTCTTCTACAAGACTCCTGAGAGCTGCACACAGGAAAGCTCTGCCAGGGACAGCTAAGTGCAAAAGGTTAACGTATGCATGTATGTATTCCAGGAAGTTTTAGTGCTGAACATGCCTTCTTAGGCATTCTTATGAATTTACCACTGCTTCCTTTTTCCCACTTGAACATACACAGCTGGTTGTACGATTCTGGCTCCATGAAAGACATCTCTCCATGGTACCAGCCCTGATGGAAGCAGGTGCTCATCAGGGTGCTCATCATGATGAGCATGCCACATCTTAGAAAAGCATCCTGAACCACTTGGGCTTCAGTAAATGTGATGAGGGGAAACAGATGTACTCCTTCAGCCATCTTAGACCCTGTGTTATACATTGAACTGCAGCTCAGCCTCTGGCCATCTTGTGTCAAGTGGTGGAGGAATGGTGTGCTTCTGCACACTGTAGGACAGATGAGGGGTAACATGCATTGTGGTGGAGAAGGATGAGTACTGAGATCTCTTAGGACTGAGATATTCTGCACCCCAACAAGTGTAGGAAGAGTTTAAAGGAGCCTGCATCACATAAAAGAAAGCACTCTTCCTGTGAGAGTAAAAAAAATATTGCATACAATTTGTTCTTTAAGCTAGCAAATTTTCCATAGCAACAAAAAAACAAAGCACTTATAGAGGTTTTTGTTGTTGTTGTTAACAACCTCTTTGCTAAGCCCAGTAGGTACTGTAAGGAAGAAATGTCATTTGGCCTGCTTGGCTCAAGGTGATTCGGGAACCCCAGGCTGGTGGGAGCTGCAGCATGCACTGCACACCCAAAAGCCTGCTCATAAAAGTTTGGTGGCAATCCTCCCACTCTGCAAAAGCCAGTCTGCGTGCTGGGGCTGAACTTCACATAAGCATTTGAAGCTTTCGGGCTTTAACATCTGCCAAGGATGCAACACTGCCTGGGTTGTGATGGATTCACAGCTTTCTGAGTCCAAAGAGGACCACTATTCTGAGCCCCTGAATAGAGCAGGCTGTCAATAGTCGTCATTTGTCCAAAGTAAGAACGATATTTCTCCCTGACTGAAGTGCATTTTTCAGCTGCCATCTCTTTTGTAACCGATCCCCTTCCCCCCTGCTGCTATTGCTATTTATTCCCCCTGTGCAACATACATAACTTCAGACTTTAAGCTGCGTAGGAAAGAAATCGTGTTCTTTAAATTGTGTCGCTAAGCATACAAGGTGTATTTGAGTGCTGCAAAAATGACAAATTGAAGAAATTTTAAGATAGAATCAATGTCCAAACTTAGTTGCTATAGTTTTTGAAGTTCACATCAAACTGTCATATCAATTCTCAATACTGCACTCTATCCAAATTATTTTTTCATGTGAATATACAGGTAATAAAGCCGTTGCTGCTCCTAGAGTCAGTATAGCTGTAAGGGATACCTTTTGCTCATAATAATTTTCTCAAAATGCTGGAAGATAATGAAAACCTCCGTGCCTTTAAAATGTCATTTCATTCTTTGCAAACACAATGCTTATAAAAACTGCTGAGGGCTAAGTGCAGTTTAATAAATCTGGAAATCACAGCTCCTTTGCCATTCAGAGAATGGTAACAGAATCCAGCAGGAATTAATAATTCACAGAACAGGATGAATAATTTTGAAACTTTTCTTAGCAAAATGAAGCTAGCCAATACTATCCATGGCAGTAGCAAGGTATGCAAATGCTCCTACCTCCTTGCATGAACTTCATGGGGTAAACTATGGCATGATACCGGTCTATGCTCAGTGACACGAGGACATAGGTTGAAGCATAGAGGAGGACCACCTAGAGCAGAAGATACAGAAGGAAGTAGTTGAGGCATGTTTACTGTAGAAATCAGTGCCAGATAAAACACTGCTCTAGGAATATTTGAAAACTTACACTACTTTAAAAAAAAAAAAAAGACTTACAGTTTAGACCTATATTTTCACCCAGACCTTTTTCCTTTTCCAGGTCTGCAAAAGGTAAAGGACTTAATATGTTTGAAATAAGATGTGTTTAAGTGTTAGATGACTACTGGCAGCATTTAGCAGTCCTGGTGGAAGCAAAGCATCTGTGCAGCATTTTGTTAGGGTGAGTTCAGGCATGCAGGAGAGCACGTGGTCCTGTACCTGTAAGTAGCGGACGACTCTGCAGACGATGTCAGGGGCCATGAAATCTCCTGTGTAGCGCCAGATGATATCAGTCATTATGTTTATGAGTCCTGTGAATGAATCTGCAAAGGAAAGCCACCGAATGTACATGAGAAGAAGTGCAGTTATGCTGCAGAGGCAGGCAGGGCCCTTGGATGTACCTCTCCTATCACCTGCAGGGGCAGCCCCTGTTGCTGGTAGCATAGGATGCTGAAGGAGCTGGAAAAGTCTCAGAGAGTGCTGGATAGCTGGACTTCTTTGATCTTGTTCATTTGGAGAGACAAGGTGAGATGAATGTACACTTAATGTATACCTGTGTACACCTTCATGCCTCCCCTTAGAGATGAGATTTGGTTCTTCAGCACGCCTGCAGCTTCTCCTCCAACTCCTTGCCTCCTGTTAAGGCCCTCAGCTTTCCCACCAGGAATGGATAAATTATAATCCTGGAGAAGAAGTAGGTGAGCGCCCAGGTACATCTGCTCCAAAAACTGAGATATCTAATGTCTGGTTTTCACTGCCTTTTGTTTCACTGCAAAAAGAAATGCATATCCCTTGAAAGCACCTGGGGTGAAATCCAGATGCTGCTCAAGTTAGCAGGAATTTTGTCAGGATTTTATACACATGCTTAGTTATTTAATAAGCAAACCCACCCTGTCAGCTTGAAGTTAACCTACTTATGCCTGGTCAATCCTGTACACCAAAGTGAACAGACCTCAGGCCATCTTTTATTCTTTGAGGAGATTGGAGAAGATATTCCAGTCTCCATTCTGCTACTTACTGAACAAATGAGCACTCACAGCAATGCGAGTTGTAGAAGGAGACTGCCAAAGCTGTTATTGCTCCTGTGCATGTGGGCAATATTAATTCATGTACCTGAAATCAAAATATTAAGAAAGCTCTTCCCCGTAGGATAGGAGAGTTATTTTGATGTCCATCAGTGTAGTGTTTTGCTGTTGAGATTAGCAGAGCACATTGGTCTTCTTGTACAGGTTACCACAAGGGAAGGGAGCAGGCTGGGAAAGAATTTTGTGCAATTTCTGAGGACAAAAAGCAAAATAACTTCAATTTAAAAAAAAAAATGTAGAGCAGTGAGATAAAATGCTTCATTCTGATGCCACCACTTTGCACGTTGTAAATTCGTCTGTAATATTTTCTGTGATAAAGACATTATAACTCCTGCATCAGAAAGTGTTGCTTTGAAAATGTGTGCTTTTGGAAAAAAGACATTTGAACAATTGGAAAACTATTTTTTTTTTTTTTGGTCAAGTAATAAATGATTGTGACCAGTGCTTTCATGCAAATAACTGTGATTTTGGCAGCGTTTGCTTATTTCAGTCTCTTTCACATTACAGACATTCCAGGTACTTCCAGATCGAATTTGATGCTTTGGAAGTATCAACCAGTTTTGTTTCATTAGAAAAATAGGCTTGGTTTTTTTCTGTATCATTAATCCTTTATCTCCTTTTTTCATCAAGGTTCAGTTCAAAATGAAATTAGAACAGCAATATTATTCCTGCTACAAGTACACCCAATGCTTCCCTACTTACATCTTTATCTCATGGCCATTATTTCAATTATTTCAATATCTTCCAATTATTGCCAGTTTGCACTTTTCTCTCCCAGTATTTCCCAACACAATTTTCTCTCTCTTCTCTCTTCCTCTGCCTCAAAAATGTCCTTCTAAGCAGCATTTCTGTGTTTTCTATTTTCACAGCCACTCAAGGCAACAGAAAATCCTGGTTTGAAGCCATATATTAAATTTTGCTTGTTGATTAGACTAATGGGGGCAAAGGATGATTTTAATTCTCTGATGAGTATTACTGGCTTTAGGACTTCATTGAAGAGACTGTAGGTGCCTGTAATTAAGGTGGTTTTTGAAGAAACCATAGAGTTTAAGTGCTTTAAAGTGAAATGTGTCTAGCAGTGGCTCAGCCCAGCTCTTTCCCTTTCCTTACTCCTGAATTATTGATTCATATTCTCTCTCTCCAGTAATGAAATATTCATTGATTCAAAGTAATACACATCAATAGAGCTTCAGCTCGGGGTATCTTCCAGCTTTTGACAATCTTAGCATCCTCCAAGCAGGCAGTAAGTGGGGGCTCATGATCCCTGGGGAAGAGAAGGATGCACAGTCTGCTCTTCCACCCACCCATCTCAGCGCACTCCAAGGAGAAGGGAGGCAGAAAGTAATGCCATCTTCTCATCTTCCTCTTCACACCAGCATTTTGTCATCCCTTCCTGATACCCTTGGGAAATTCCTTGGACATATGTGAAGGGTCAGTCATATCTGGGATGCTGGCTGTGCACCCAAAACCTCCCTTCCAGCCTGTGCCCATCTCAGTATTTTTGGTTTGTGTTTCAAATGCATTTTAAAACTGCAGTTGGTCTCCATTTCTCTGCCTCATGCCACGAAGCCAAGTGAATGAGCTTTCACTTCAAATGATGCTCGTCCCAGAACTTTTCTCCACTTCATGTGCCTTGCAGCTGTCAGCCAGTGCTGAGACACCATGGGGGCAGTCACTCATCTAATGCGACCCCCTCGAATGCATGGTGTGAATGCCAGCTCCATATCCCTCACTCTTCACTCCACTCTGCTCCAGCTGCACTACAACACCTGCCAGGATAGCTGTAGCTTTAGGTACATTCAGTCAGCTCAAAGCTCTCCTTCCCTTTAAAGCCCTTCTGTTTTTGGGTGAGTGCAGAGGCTTTTTTATACAAGTTTTAAACTTTGCAGCTGCATTGTGCTGGCAGCTGGAACTCTTGCTCCTGTCTGGTAGTGCAAATTTGGGTTTCTGAGTTTCTGGAAGCACTGGGCAGGCGCTCAGCAGAGTGTGTCCCCAGGCACAGCACAGCTCCGTGTGCCAAAGCAGATAAAGACAAATTAGATTTCTCAATTTCCTTTCATTATGGAAACACTCCTCCACACAACATCATGTCCATTGCACTATCATGTACCAGCCAGTTTTTTCCCTCATCTTTTGCACACTGCAGTTTCAGTGCCACACGTGAGACATGTCACATATCGTTGATACCTCTTATGATAAAAGTTGGTATTGAGGATCAGCTCAGCTGATACATTACCCTAAACCCCAGCATCCTGATTAATGCTAGTGTCTTCAGTTCTCCCCACTGAGCTGGGGGCTTGCATGTTAGGTACCAGTGTTCTTTCACCGATGTTTTGTTTCCAGGCCAAATGACACCACCTGCTTTCCTGAAAACAGCACTTATCAACCTTTGTTCATAACTACATGCTAGCTTGTCATTGCCATTGATTTTTTAATACTTTTTTAACCAGGATGTATTTTATGTGCTGCATTTCTTCGCCTGAATTGCTAGGCAACTGTGCGACTACAGGTTCATTTAATTCTTCAGAAAGAATAGTGGAAAAATCAATTAATTACTTACATTCATTTCTGACAGAAATTTAAAAAAATAAATGCAATCATGTGATAGCATGATCCAAAAGTGCGCTCAAAAACGATACAAAATAGTGATTCTTGGTTAAGGAGAAGACAGAAACACTAATATGATAGGAGCAGTGACAGTTTGCTTTTGAGAGGAGGTGGAGTTTCTAAAAATGTAATTTAAAAGAAGAAATCCACGAGACTTCAATAATAAGAAAAAGTAGAGGGAAGTAGGGAGCAAAGGTGGATTTGCCTGGGGTGCATGGGGAGAAAAAACAACTGATGGAGTCTGCATGAGCCAGGCAGCTCCGCAGCCCCTCTGTTCCTTTCTCATCCCCATCACAGCAACAACAGGTCTTCCAGGGCACAGCAAGTTCCTGGCCTTATGAATCCGCCACTGTTTCAAAATCACACATGCAGCTTTTTTAAACCAGCAGTTATTGAAAAGAGTGAGAAAAGGACTGAGAAGCAGCCTGTTCTGTAAGGAGTCTGAACCACACAGAGTATAGCACTGCAACATCTGGGTAATTTGGCAGGTGCTGAAAGCAGCTGTGAAAATCCTAAAAAAAAACCAGTACTTACCAAGTCTCCACTGTGCTCATTAAAATCCCTTTGGACTTTTTGGGGTATAAATGAGTGCAAGACCTTGACTCGTTTTGTTTGAGTACAGGATCCACTTGGTTCCAGGAGTGATTGCATGAGCTGGTGTGGTAGACACTGCCTCACAGGCTGAGGGCTGGAAAAATGGGAAAAAGACAGCATTGCCCTTGGAGGGACAAATGTGAATGTGCAGCAACTGCTGCAAGTGAGAAAAATGTTCATGGCAAAAAAAACTCCACTGAGATTGAAGTCCATTATGGAAAACAAATGGAGGTAATTAGTGATCTAGCATGGGAATACGGACATGTTACAACTGTCCCAGTTAATCTTTTTATAGAAATTCATTGACTTGATGGCATTTCCCAAGGGATGTATCTTGTGCAGACTTCAGGATATTTCTTTCATTATGACCAATGAGGTTCAAACAAAATTCTGTGCTAGCGATGCTGTGAAAAAAGCCCTCCATCATTTGATTATTAGTGCTGACACTGATGTTCCCTTAAGTCATTTCCCCTAAAGATGCTGAAGGTTTTTCCTGTTGGAAGCAAGGAGCAGATTGCTGATAAGCTGCCATGGGTTAAAAAGCTCCACATGTCATCTCATCCCCAGGTTGGTCTTTTTTCCCTCGATGAGAGCAGCCCTATTAAGCTGGACGTAGTGATCCATGACTTTCAGACAAAGCTGGTGGCTGGGGTCTCTTACTGAAATTTCATGCCTCTGTTCACGTAATTTACTGAGCATTCTCATTGTTAAGTGGGATGCCTTGTCTTGTTTTGTTGACTGCACCAGACTATGTGAGGCAAGGCTTGTAAGGCAAGTTCTTCTTCAGGGCTGAGCACCAGCTCGTGTTTCGGGGACATCACCAGGTGTTCCCATCACCTGGCTGTGTGCAAAGAGCACCAGAAGCAGCACATCAAAGACAAGACACCAGTTACATACCTAAAAATGCCATTTAAAGTGCCAACACTGTAGCTCTCAGAACAGTGTAGTGCCAAAGATGAGGGTGGAAGCTGGGCACAGCCCCTTCTCCTAGTGTTGTGGCTGCTCACAGCCCCTCTCAGCCCCTGCAGATCATCTGG